CATGCTTGCTCCATCATCTGTACGCTTCGAAGACAATCATTTCTAAAATTTGGCATATCATTCATAATCCTATTGATTTGCCCTTGTGATACATTAAGCAGACCTTGTAAGTTTGCATTTTTCTAAGCATGCCTTTGATTATGTTCTCGAATAGTTGTTATTAAGATCCGTATTCTGTTCAATGTATTTCTTGGATCAAATGTTATATCACCATTGATATATCCTTCAATCTGATATAAAGCTGTATCAATATTTCTTAAGATATCTGGTAACGTCATATTTTCTTGATGTTTTTCTTCAGAAGGTTTATTACTCTTATTTACTTTTTTATCGCTAGACTCAATAAAAGGGCTATTGCCTTTTTGACCGAAGGAGTGTGATATCTTGAGAATTTAATTTTTGAGCTTTTCTACTATATCTTTTAACAAAATGATTCGGTTATCTTAAGCGATTAATGCCTCCTCCTTTATATCCAAATAATCCTGACATTTTTTGAGATTATGTAAGGTGGAGCGGTATTCTGCTTTTAATCTATCTATCTCATCTTCTCGTAAGATTAGATTTTTTTCAAGATATTTAATATATAACTCACATCGCTCTATATTATTTATAAGCTTACGAATCTTTTCCTTATTTCTAATGGTAGTAATTTCTTCTTTAGTCAACTTTATTCACAATTCTAAATTACTATCTAGTAAATCGTGATATGCTCGCTCAACTCCTATTGATTCCTATTATCACAATAGATTCTGGTAAAGCTAGAAAACTAGATATTTCTATTGCATTACAGAAGATTTATTATCAACCTGTTGGATATCAAAGAACTGCTAAAAAATTACACAAAGCTTCTCAAAAAGCTGGGTATAATTTTAGTCTAAACGAAGTTAGGAATTGGCTTAAAAGACAGGCTGTACATCAAATACATAAGTCTTGTCCTAAATATATTCCTCGAGCAAGTTTTTGCTCTATTACTACTCCCAATAAAGTTTACCAGGCAGATGTTCTCTACATGCCTTATAATAAAGTAAGACGAGTCACCTATCTTTTTTGCCTTAATGTGGTAGACGTGGCTTCAAGATATAAAGTATCTATTCCTATTGGCGCATATAGTGTCAAATATAGGCAGGGAATCTTAACTTCAAAAACTATTGCTAAAGCTCTTAAAGAGAAATATGATGACCCTAAGTATTTTCTAATCTGGCCTGAAACATTTTTAACAGATAGAAGGCTAGAGTTCAGAGGTGATTTTGAGAAATTAATGAGAGAACATGACGTAAAGATTCAGAAGGCCAAAACTAAACATACTATGGGTATTGTTAAAAGTTATAATAGAACCTTAACTAAGAGATTGTTTCGTTCTTAGAATACTTCTGATCTTTTAACTTTATATATAGATAAGATATCCTGAGTTTGGGTAAAGAATTTGCCTATAGTTGTTAAGGACATTAATAATTCTATAACCCGCTTACTTAGTATTTCTCCAGCTGAGGCAATAAAAAAAGATAAAGTTATTGCTATGTCTTCTAAAATTCGAGAAAGTCCTATAGGCTATAATGAATCACAATTAACTTATGATATCTTAGTAAGATATTTGCTTGAACTTAGTGAACTAGAAGGAGATAATAAACGGTGTGCAACTGATAAAAATTGGTCTCCACAAGTTTACCATATTAAAAAATTACTAGTACAAAAAAATCAGCCAGTTTTTTACTGACTTATAGATAATAAAGGCAATAGTCCTAAACGATCATTTGTACATGAAGAATTGCTAGTAATTTCTCATGATACTGAATTGCCACCCCAGTAGGTATTAACAAGTTAAAAAAGTTATCAGCTTTGCATATTTAGTTTCACTAGCGGAGCTAATCATCTGTAAGTGACATGTTAAGAAGTTCTTGAATAATTCCTTTCACATTCTCTTTAGATATTTCACATTTTTCTTCCTGAGATATTTCATAATAAAGGCTATATAATTTCTCTAGTTTAGTACACAGTTCTTCTCGATACCATGTTTGAACTTTCTCTATTCTTATATTATATGATATTTCATCTGGAATCAGTTTTTTTGCAATATATTTAGCATATCCATCAGGATTTTCTGCTAATCGCATTTTTTTTACATAGCTAAGATGATCTCTAACAAATTTACTACTCTCTTTAAAATTCTGACATATTGCCATTTCTAATACTTCTAATAATGCTTTCTCTACTTTTTTTGCTAGCCCTTCTGGCATCACTTAAGATAAAGATTCCATTTTTTTATCTGAATTCATAATATTAGATGTCATCTCGTTTTAATAACCTCAGAAAATATTTAATTTATAAAATAATAGAAAGGCATGGCATTTTATTCTTGTCCATACACTTATATTGATGGTTATATATGTGGAAATAAATGTTATCGGCAAGAAGGATGTCATATTCATTGGAAAAGGCAATTTTGTATTCCTTGTGGTGAATGTGATACACCAACGACTTCTTTTTACGGAATGTGTGTAAAACATGCTGGAAAGTATTATAGTAAAGCTAATTATTATAAAAACAAACTTTCATCTCCAGCCACTAGTGTTCTGAATCCAAATCGATCTGATAGGCTTCAAGAACAGAGAAGGATTCCCAATCCAGAGACATATACTTCAGATCAAATTCCATGAGAATCTCAGCCTGCCAGCCACCTACTCCGCCCGATATCCATGATGATGAAGAAAGGTTCACAAAGTGAATACCAGATATAGATCTGGGTCTATTTGGCTAATCTGTGATAAGAAAACTGCTTGACCACTCTGGCTACTTTGAACACAGATATCTCAGAATCTGGAACTCAATATGTATGCATTTATATTACTTGATTTTTTTTCATGTTTTGCGTACATGCTCCGCATTCTTAGTGCTCTGCAACCTCTATGAACATATCTTGTGTACATATGCTTCGCATCTTCGATGCTTCGCAACCTGTGAACATATCTTGTGTACATATGCTCTGCATCTTCGATGCTTCGCAACCTGTGAACATATCTTGTGTACATATGCTCTGCATCTTTGATGTTTTGCAACCTGTGAACATATTTTGTATACATATACTCCGCATCTTCGATGCTCTATAACTCGTAAACATATCTTGTATATATATGCTTCGCATCTTCGATGTTTCGCAACCTGTGAACATATCTTGTATACATATGCTTCGCATCTTCGATGCTTCGCAACCTGTGAACATATCTTGTGTACATATGCTCCGCATCTTTGATGCTTCGCAACCTGTAAACATATCTTGTGTACATATGCTCCGCATTTTCGATGCTTTGCAACCTGTGAACATATCTTATATACATATGCTTCGCATCTTCGATGCTTCACAACCCGTGAACATATTTTGTGTACATATGCTTTGCATCTTCAATGCTTCGCAACCTGTGAACATATCTTATGTACATATGCTCTGCATCTTCGATGCTCCGCAACCCGTGAACATATCTTGTATACATATGCTCCGCATCTTCGATGTTTCGCAACCTGTGAACATATTTTGTGTACATATACTCCGCATCTTCGATGCTCTACAACCCGTGAACATATCTTATGTACATATGCTCCGCATCTTCGATGCTTCGCAACCTGTGAATATATCTTGTGTACATATGCTTCGCATCTTCGATGCTTCGCAACCTGTGAACATATCTTGTGTACATATGCTCCGTATCTTTGATGCTTCATAACCTGTGAATATATCTTATGTACATATACTCCGCATCTTTGATGCTTTGCAACCTGTGAATATATCTTATGTACATATGCTCCGCATCTTCGATGCTTCGCAACCCGTGAACATATCTTGTGTACATATACTTTGCATCTTCAATGCTTCGCAACCTGTGAACATATCTTGTGTACATATGCTCTGCATCTTCGATGCTTCGCAACCCGTGAATATATCTTATGTGCATATGCTCTGCATCTTCGATGCTTCGCAACCCGTGAATATATCTTGTGTACATATGCTTTGCATCTTCGATGCTTTGCAACCCGTGAACATATCTTGTGTACATGCTCCGCTTTGCTCTGCAGACTTGGCATTCATATTTGCTTTATGATTTGCATACCATCTACCCACTTATTGTATTCACAATTTGCTTACCGCTCCACTTCATTCCACATACAGTAAGCTTATTTACTTTTAAAAAACCCGTGCTAAATAAAATATCAAATTAGTATTTATACAATTCCAAAGAGTCTAGCTAAGTAAGATTACAAAATAGTATTTCTGAGATTGTGGAATCTCCAGACAGGCAAGAAATATAATTAGTAATTATAATGAGCTAGAGATGTGAGAAATGGAAAAAAAATACAAAGTAATATAGCAAGAAGGCACTGGGGAGGCTACCACTCCTTAGTGGGAACTGTCTATATCCCCCCCTCATTATGCATCATATAAAGGATAGGTTCTAATTGGTATAGCGGGCTTTTTCTGTAATTAGCTAATTATACACTAATATGATTGATCAATAACCATTTATGTGATTATTCGTTTTAATAAAAAATTAAAAAAAATTTTAATTTTTTAAGTCTGAAATCATTAATAATTATGTGAAAATATTATGTAAAAAGGACCAAATTATTTTTAACATGTGAAAAATATATTAAAATATTTTTTTTATTAAATTATATTAATATAAAATACATTTAGATATTTATCTAAATTTTAGTTATTTGGTTTAAAAAATTTAAATCAATAAAGTTAAAACATGAAAGAATAGTTGTAAATTATCTATTATTTATTATAAATAATCCAATCCTCTCTTTTATTTGTGTAAATAAATAAAATAAATCTTAAAATATATATTAATATATAATTCAAATTTCAATCTCTTTCTCTCTCTCTATATATATATACATATAAAATAATATATTGCAAAGAAACCCTTATTAGCTAAGTTCTAAATTACCTTGCTTATTAAATTACTTTGACAGTTTATAAAACAGAAGGTATACTTTAGAAATTTTTTATCGCAACCCTTGCGAATTTATCTCTGTAGCTGCGAATCCATTTAAAGATTAATGATCATCTTTTTTATATAAATTTAATATGTAACAATCATTTTAAAAATCAACCAATCAGGCTTAAGCCTGCTATGCTATTCTAATTCATATCGTTTAAAAACTTGTAGTAATTGTCTAGGTTTTCTTTGTTGAAATGATATAACTTTAAATTTTAAATAGTAAAGAATTTCGTCATATTTGTAAATTTTTTCTTTTTCTTATTAATTTGAATATGATCAGGATATTTGTTATGAGTTAAATATTGTTAGATATCGAAATATTATTGTATATCCATATTGAATAATTAAGCTGTAAGTCACACTGCTTATACTTATGTTTTTATTTAATTATAATAATAATAATATACGAGACTTTCACTCACTAGATGCTATTCAACTAGGTATTATCTCTTTAATAAAATATAAATAGAATATGAGTAATAATAATTTAAAAATAAAATATGATATGATAGAATATAATTAAAAATCTAAGTCAAGGTTTGTAGTTTAACTAAAAATAGGAGTGATAAGGGATTTATAATTATCAAATAGTTTATCCAATTCTTCTTGTGTCCATTCGTCTTCATTTTGAAAATAATGTACTTTTGATAAGCTTTGTCCTGCTATTGTACTGCTTCTGATATTTCCCAAAATACTTCATTATCTAGGGCTTCAGGTTTTATTTTAGAATGGATTTATTCTAATCCATATTCAACGATACAATTATGTTCTAATTCAGTTGTAATGATCTTTTCACAGAGAGTACAATTGATAGAATAATCTTATTTAGTGTCGACTAGAGCATTATTTTTTATTTATTTGATAGTAACTTGTTTAAATTCAGCGGCTTGTAAGTAAATATCATGTATATTTTATCTCTAATTGTGTCCTTTTTCATCGATAAGAGATTTATCTTCCTTTGAGCTATAGTTTGATTCAGAATTACTATCACTGTGTGAATGTTGGTACATATTTTCTCCATTTGATTCTAAAAGCAAATAACTTTTTTCATTGATATAATCAGAAAATTCTTAATATTCTTCATTACATTCACATAAGGTGTTTTTGTTTGAAGTTAAAATATAGTTACCATAAGGGTTTGTACAGTGAAAATAATTTTTGCAATATTAATGGAAATGGTGATCAGTTTTTTTATATAAGTAAGTATTCCTTCTATAATTATGATTATTAGCTAATCCATTCTATTGCTATTTAGTTTGACATTCTAGTACATTATATGTTGAAAAATGTACTTGAATTCATTTTGAATTATTAGTCATGTCTTCATTTAAATCATAAGTTTCAATTATGTTGACAGATACTAATTTGAAAAGACATCGGCATTTTGGTGTTTATTGCCCGCTCTGTATTTAATTGAAAAATCATATCCTTGTAAGAATAAGACCCATCTTGCTATACATCCTTTAAGATGTTTAGTAGTTAATAACCATCCAAGAGCAGAGTGATTAGTAATTACTTTGAAGAGCTTATAACATAAATAATGATTGAAGTATTCAATAGCCCATCGTACAGCTAAATATTTTTTTTCTGTAGTAGTATATTTTAATTCCAGATCAGATAATTTTCTACTAGTAAAAGTGATTGGATGTTCAGCATCTTGATCATTCTTTTGAGTGAGAATAACGCCTAATCTTTCATCAGAAGTATCTGTTTGTAATATAAAAACTTTTCTAAAGTTAGGTTGGGCTAGAACAGAGGCTTTCATTAATTTTTGTTTTAAAGTATTAAACGAATCTTGATGTTAATTAGTCCAATTCCATTTCTTGTTTTTTTTGGTTAAATTATGTAAAGGTCTTGCAATTTTTGCAAAGTTCTGAATAAAATGTCTGTAATAGGAGAATAATTCTAAAGCCATTCTAACTTTCTTTAGTATTTTAGGTATAGGTAAATTTTTCATAGTTTGTAATTTTTTAGAATCTGATTTGATACCATTGTTTTCTACAATATGTCCTAAATATTCTAATTTATGCAGAGCAAAAGAATATTTTTCTAATTTAATTTTGAGATTTGCTTTTCTTAATCTTTCTATTACTAGCTGTAAATGTTTGCAATGATCTTGAAATGTAGTAGAATAGATTATGATATTATCCAAGTATACTGCACAAAAGTTTCTAATAAGTTGATATAATACTTTATTTATTAGACGTTGAAAAGTAGCTGATGCATTTTTTAAACCA